AGACAAAGTAATGCCTAGGCAGAAAGAGTTTGTTGCTATGCTACGTTCCAAGTAATAATTTGAGTCAAATTGCTAATCAAAATTGACAATGACTTTGGGTGAACAAAAAATGATGGATTATTTGGACTTGCGTGAAATTGAAAAGGATTCCTAGAACAAATTATATGCTTCACATAGCAGAGAAGAAGATGCTTCGCCAAGATGATGGATTATTCAGACTATGTGTGAAATTCTAACATATTCAGGGAAAAAATTATGTGGTTCACATGCCTGAATAATTATTTATACACCAAGGTAGTGATGTAGTGAAGAATATCGGAATTACCCTCGGACCGAGATTATATCCCGAGGTTTCAGCCGAGGGGTATAAGGTTCCATGGTAAAGATATTCTTTACAACCAAGGTGTACATTTGTAATTTTTTTTCACCACATGCAATATATTTCAATCATTATCGTTCTGTGAAAGTGAAATATGGACCTATTGTCACTCTGAAAGCACGTCCCTTCAATTCTAATCGAAATAATAGCCATGACTATGACAGCATATGTCAAGTCGTTATTTCATTTCATTTCATTTTCACAAACAGGAATACAAACAGGACGAACCCAGAGACAGTATTCACATATATACTAAATATGTCATGTTGTTAGGAATTCAATTCCATTATACAGTGCAGAGTTTTATATACTTTATATGAGAAAGAAAAATCTTCAATATATCATCAATTAGATGCTGGAACAAAATGTTTGTTCACAAAGATTGTTAAATAGTCGGAAAAAATATCAATCTCTATTATGTTTGAGATGGAGTTATAACTTTTCAAGCATCGATATAAAGGGGAGTTGAGATAGTAATTTGTGTTCGGTATGGACGTATGGAACAAGTTATAATAGCGAGTGGAATATTGTGGAACATATTGTAATGGATCAAGTTATTTATAGATGAGGAATGAATGATTCCATTTATAATTTTGAAAGAGAATTTTGTATCGGCGATAGCTCTTCTGTCAGCAAGACTAATCAAATTAAATTTTCGAATTAAGAAGTGATTTTGTGGCGTGTTTTTGAAATTTTTTTTGTTGATATAAGCAATGAATTTATTCTGAATACTTTTTATTTGTTTGGTGTATATTATATAATAGGGATTCCAAATGATTGAGCCGAAGCTTAGCAGACTATTCACGTATGACATGAAAAGAGTACGCAAGGTATTATAGTCTTTGAAAGGATACGTTGTTCTCAGAATGAAACCTAGCATTCTGTTCGCTTCCTTAGAAATGTGAGGAATATGTTCATTGAAAGTAATTTTTGAATCAAAAATAATTCCCAAATCCTTCACTTCACTTCACTACATATGTGGAGATAATGATCCTGCATGGTATAGTTATGAGTAATTGAATTAGAGTTTCTACTAAAAGTTATCTGATGTCATTTGTTGAGATTCAGGAAGAGGGAGTCATTTCTGCAGTACTCTGAGAAGCGATCAAGATCCTCTTGAATGAGCATACAATCATTCAAGTGTGAAACTGTATGGAATATGTTATGATCGTCAGCATACATAAGGAAATACGAGAATTTGAAACTTTCAGAGATGTCATTTATAGAAATATCGAAGAGTAGGGGACCAAGATGTGAGCCTTGAGGAACACCCGACGTTATATTGACTGATCTTGAAAGATAATTACCAATACAAACTGTCTGATTACGATTACTTGCGTAAGATTGAAACCAATTCAGCAGGGAGCCGGTCACACCAACATCAGCCAGCTTTTGTACCAGCAATGTGTGATCGATCTTATCAAATGCTTTGCTGAAGTCGGTGTGAACGGCATCTACTTGAATTCGGCTGTTCAAGCTTCTCAATAGTAGATTGTTTTATTAGGATCAAAAGTGACACTTTGTTTGACAAGCGAATTTTGCATTTGCGAGGCGGAGCGTTTAGCGAAGCCGAGCGAAAGCAAAATTTGCGAGTCGAACAAAGTCACTTTTGATCCGAATGAAACATGCTATTTTTTCTGCAACCGAAACAATCAACTCAAATAAACATGTGAAGTAACCACCAATGCCGTGCCATATGTATGCAATGCAACAAATATTGACAAATAATCCATGTGGTGAGAATATTCTACCTGCATTAACAGCAGGTTGGGTTTTCTAGGATGTTCGAATTGTAGTTTCAATATGAATACAACCACAGAGTGACATATTTGTGTATGGACCAGGTGCTCTAATGGCAAATACCGCGCCAGTGCCAGCTATAGGAACAAGACGTGGAAAATGTTAGGTTAGTGAGCATATCAACAATGATAATAGTGGTTATTTATTCCTCTCCATACTACACTGTGTTTGACGTGATAATCAAATGGAGCTAAACAATATCGTTGTTTGAGACAAAAAACTATTGCTTGCCGTGATTATTTAAAAACATGTTATCCATCCCGAGAATAACGAATGAAATACAGATCAAGCAAGTATTTGAATCTTGAAGGCTTCCCTGATCAAAACAGAAATACTTAACTAGGATGTTTATGATTCCAATACTGAACTATAATAAGGTGTATTTATATCTCCAGCATGGGTATGAGATGCTAAATCTGCTGAAATCGGAAACAAATCACGTATGCGTCTCAACCCAAATAACCAACCATCACAATGTTGTTTATTCTTGATGACTTCCAGTACATCTTTTTTAGTTCCTAGGAGCTAAAGTTCAACTTTAGCTCCTAAGAACTAAAATTAAACTTTAGCTCTTAGGAACTAAATATGTTGCCTAGCAACATACCTATTTTTGTGTCAGTAATAGAAACGTCAATTTAAGAGCAAATTTTGGTACCAAAATGGACGACTTTTGTGTCGGTTGCAGAAAAAATATATTCATCCATGTTGTATATTCAAAATGTTCATGACATATCATGATACAAATAATCAAAAATAATGCTTTCGAATACTTTTGCTAATATACATAATTTGGACACTGGTCTGTAATTCTGAGGTAACTGTTTTTGACCAGATTTATGAATTGGAATAACGAATGCTTTTCTCCAGGTGTTTGGAAAATGCCCTTTATCTAAGGATTTATTGATAAATACCTAGTAGATTCGAGTCCTACTTCTGAGAATATCATTAGAACAGTGAATTTGTTTAATTATAACAGAGGCGGCTATGTCATTATTGACTATTATACTCCAAGTAATCAGAAACAATATTAAAAATAAGCATTCATGTGGATTCGATGGTATCTCTGGATATGTGTTGAAAAAAATTGCATCTTGCATTAGTTCACCTCTATGTCATATAATAAATATATCATTACAACAAGGACATTTTCCATCTCGTTTGAAGCACTCAACTATCACCTCAATCTTTAAAAAAGGAAATATCCATAATTTGGAAAATTATCGCCCAATCGCGGTGCCTTCAACATTATCAAAAGTCTTTGAGTATATAATGTTGAAATTTTTACATCATTTTTTAAATATAAATGATATACTTTCTCCAAATCAACATGGATTTCGATCCGAGCACTCAACTACAACTGCAATAATATCATTTCATTCAACACTACTAAAGTCCGTTGAAGCAGGTAAAAACCCGACAGGTATTTTTTGTGATCTCAGTCGGGCTTTTGACTGTGTTAATCACGATATTCTTATGAGAAAATTATACAATATTGGCATTAGGGGTTTTCAGCACAAGTGGTTTTTATTATATCTCTCAAATCGAACACAAACCGTGAAAATACATCATTCAAGTGACAACCATGATAAATATTTCTTTTCGGATCATTTGTCAAATAATATTGGAGTTCCTCAAGGATCTGTTTTGGGGCCAATTCTGTTTATTTTATACATAAACGATTTGCCCTCTGTTTTACCTAACTCATTCACGTGCTTATATGCTGATGATTCCTCTCTTCTATTTGGATCTACTGATCGAGTTGAGCTGCAAGAGAACATTGATTCGGATTTGAATAATCTTCAAAACTGGTTTTGTGAAAACTCTTTGTATCTGAATACTCCTAAATCAAAAGCTGTTATCTTCCATACTGCTCAAAATTCTAATTATGTTAATCCAAGTATTAGAATATCGGATGTTGTGGTAGAAAAAGGTGACAGTGTGAAATTCCTAGGTCTTTTTCTGGATAGCGATCTCAATTTTCGTGCACATTGCACTCAACTCAACAGAAATCTCAACAAAATTTGCTATTTGTTACGAAACCTCAGAAGAATTATCGATAATTCGGGTTTACTTCTATATTATTTTGGAGAAATTCAATCCAGACTCAGCTATGGACTTATCATCTGGGGAAATTCTCCATCGGCACGATGTGTTTTTTCAACACAAAAACGAATTATCAGGATAATTGCGAAAGTATCACCTCTAGAGTCATGCCGAAATCTGTTCAAGAAGTTCAAAATATTACCTTTAGCAGGTCTTTATATCATGGAAATTCTAGTTTTTGTACACAATAATAGAGATAATTTCATAAAAAATAATCATATCCACAATTACAATACCAGGAACCAAAACAAATTCCATTTGCCTACGACACGATTGTCTCTGTGTCTCAATTCTTTCGAATCTCTGGGACTCAGGGCATATGATGCTATTCCAGAAAATATAAAATGTTCAAGTAATGAGAAAGTGTTTAAATATAAATTGAAAAATCTCCTCTTTGGAATTAGCCCATATACAGTTGATGAGTTTTTTACATTTTTGCAGAACTGATGATTTTTGTATGTAATATTTTTATCTTATTTTAGTCATTTTACCTTATTGTGAATTATTTAAATGTTTATTTGTATATTTCATGTATTCTGACTTGTCCAATGGCTTTTGTAAGCTCGTTTTAATGGATCAATAAAACTACTACTACTACTACTACTACTACTACTAGTGACGAAAACTACCTTGGTAGTAAAAACACACTTTACGACTCGAAAAGGAGTAAATAATGGTAGGTTCTACAGGTAGTGGTGGAAAAACAACTATAACTCACTATTCTTCTTGTATAAAAGTATTTCGAACTGATCGTGCAACTGGTGCTCCAAAACTTGATCCACCCTCGTGATTGTCTCCTTATCTGTCAGCTCTCCTATCATGAAAACGCATCTGCACGATTTCTGCATGACTTCTGCTCGGTTGTAGCCGGAAATCTTGCAGAAAGATTCGTTGCAATACACTATCGGGTAGTCCACTATTTGTGCGTTCGCCAATAAAAAACTGCTATCAGCTGAAACGAAAAAAAAATTATTCAGTTTTGTGTACAGGGTGATTCACCATAAATGTCCCCCCCTCTGGCTCACTTATTTTTGGACCGATTTGAAAATTTGAAAAATGATCTAAAATGATTTTTCAGAATTTTTTTTTCCCGTTGCATCAGAAAATACAGGGTGCTCGGAACAAATGATCTACAGAGTACTAATTGATTTTTTCAAATTGAACACTCTGTATTTCATTGCATTTTCAGATTCTTCCTGAAAAGCTGATTTCATAAATGTTTCAAACTTGAGGTCTAGCGGGAATGATTACAGAGATATAGGGTGTTCTAAATCGAGTTTTTCAAGTTTAGGATTTTATGTCTCGAAACTATTCATTATTGGTCGAAACGGCGTCTATGTTTCCATCTTAACTTTTGATTTACTGTCTACTGACATTTAATTGGAACATTCACAGGGTGGTTCAAGATTCAGAATTCTGATCACCCTGTATCTGTTCCAATTATTAAATGTCAGTAAATAGTGAATAATAACCACTTGGGTTGATGCGCATACTTGTAAATAAAAAAAAAAAAAAAAAAAAGTTGAGATACTTATGGACATGAAAGCCGTTTTGACCGATGATAAATAGTTTCGTCTCAAAAAAATTCTAAAATTGAAAAATCTCGATTTTGAACACCCTATATCTTTGTAATCATTCCCGCTAGACCCCCAGTGTGATACATCGACCAAATCAGCTCTTCAGGGAGAATCTAAAAATACAATGAAAAATAGGGTGTTCCATATAAAAAAACCAAATAGTACCCTGTAGACCATTTGTTCCGAGCACCCTGTATTTCCTGATGTAGCGGGAAAAAACTTCATCGAAAATCATTCGAGATGATATTTTAAATTTTGAAATTGGTTTGAAAATAACCGAGCTAGAAGGGGGGACATTCATGGTGAATCACCATGTACCATTTTTGCATCAATAGTTGATTGTATTGTATCGATGAGTTTATTTGGACTAGGTGTAAGCTCTAATAGCAAATACCGCGCCAGTGCGAGGTATAGGAAAAAAGGAGTGGAATATGTTAGGTTCGTAAGCATATCAACAATAATGTTAGCGATAATTTATTTCTCTCCATATTCCTCTGTGTTTGGCTCGGTAATCAAATGAGAAAAAAAAAACAATATCGTTGTGTGAGACAAAAAAATATTGTTGTCCGTGATCATTCAAAAAGAGAGAAAACACAGATCAAGCAAGTATGTGATCTTGAAGGTTTTCCTGATCAAAACAAAAATACTGTACTATTATATGATGTTTGTATATCTTCAGCATGACTATGAAATGCCAAATCTGCCGAAATCGGAAACGAATCAGGTATGCGTACCAGCCCAAATAATCAACCATAACAATGTTGTTTATTCTAGAGTAGAATAATATTAAAATCATTGGAAAAGAAGATAACAACCAGAAGAGAAAAATCAAGGAATCTGCTTGCATTCTTCTGAACGGAGACAATAGCATCGCTTCTTGTTCAGTTGATATAGACAGAACATGGAATTCACTACTAAAATCTGAACATGAAAATGGTAAATTCAAGATTAATTAATGAAAACATCCTGTAACTCATTTGATTGCCAACGTCACCAATTGTCATTAATTTTGCAACTGCGGAGAAGCTGTGTATTGATAAAATTCGTACTTTAATCTATTGATTACACTGAGGCACCGAACAACACATCTTGCATCTGATGGTCATTATTACAAACTAAATAAGTCTTCTAACACAATAAACTTCACCAAATTCCTTTCTGTTCGTTAGCAGCGTGATGTAAGCGTGACACCCTGCAAACGCGAATGCCAATTGCGAACAAGAAGAACAAAATCGAAAACAAATCAGAATTCATCGTATTGTGACGTAAGCATGAGACGTTGTGGTGGGGCAAACAAAGAAAGGGCACAAAAGACCAAAAACAATACTTTCAATATCCTTCTAAGACCTCTTTGGGAAGTGCATATTACGCCTCAAGAAAACATCCTCATGCCTACATTTCTAAAACATCCCAAAACATCCCAGGGATACCTCTCAGTAGGCGAACAAAGAAATGCCACAGAAGAACAAAAACAATACTTCAATATCCTTCGAAGACCTCTTTGGTCAGGTGCATATTACGTCTCAAAATAACATCTTCATGCCAACATTTTCAAAACATCGCAAAACATCCCAGGGATGTTTGTGCTCGCTGGGCTATATCTACTTCTCTGGGTGAAAATTGCTTTATAGTCATTTTTGAAATATCGACCCATCATCAATCAAACAAGAGTAGACCTCGATAATTCCAATATTTTAGACTTATTGGTAATTCGGAACTTCATTTTTGGAACCTCGGTGTATCTAAATAACACCGGAAAAATTCGAGGGGTGTTTCCTTGTGATATTCTAGCAGATAGAGTTCATATAAACATGTGTCTTAACTTACTCCGTTTTTGAGATAAAGGCCGTTGAAGTTTGAAGTATTAATTGTTTTTATTTATAACCCTCCTAAGCTTTCATGGTGCCAAAATTCGGTATGGGTTGCGTGCAAGAACTGTCAGATGACCGACACTGGAGGCAAAATTTTGAAACACAACGTCACTTTACTTATTTGTTTACAAGTGATTGAAATAGTTTTCCACAATTATTTTGGCATACGAATCGTATTTTTCTGCTATTCATCAATTCGCTCATGCCATCACATTATGCTGTTGTGAAATGCACAAAAACTGCAGCGGAAGACGAAGTAATCCGGTTGGTACAATATTTTTTTTTTTGTTCTAAAATTTCTCTGATTTCTCATCGGAATTCTTCCTGCTATAGGAGCTAATAGAAATACATCTGAAATTTCTAAAATAATGCCAGAAAATTGGATTCATGCAATCAATCGGGAGGACTGGTCTGACATGCTGACGATCGTGTGTGTTGTAGACATTTTCAATCTATTAGCAGTATCAGCTTGTATTGCAGAAGTGACAGAAGGCAGAAGGAATTTTAATAAGGAATGACAACATTTCATAATGATAAAACTATGTGAGATTACTATTTACCTGAAAAATCATATTCTTTAGTCTCTTGCTGCATTTTTTGTGCATTGTACAACAGCACAATGCGAAGGCATGCTCGAATTAATGAATAGCGCAAAAAACACGATTCGTATGCCAAAATATTGTGAAAAACTATTTCAATCCTTTGATTCCTCTGTAACCAAGTAACAAAGTGAGGTTGTGTTTGAATAATTCACAGAAGAATGAGGTTGTGTTTCAATATTTTGCCTCCAGGGTCGGTCATCTTGCACGCGACCTATGGATGGAGACTGAGAAAGCCCTAGAATTTCGAAATGATTCTATTAGGGGTTATTGAGTGATCTCAATGGAAGTCTTGAAAACACCTACAGTAAAATTTGGAGTCAAATAAAATTTTTATCGTTTCCTCAAAAACTAAGCTAGACACATAAATCACACAGAGGATGAACAAGTTGTTATTTCAATAGTTCAATCTGATAAGAATATGAAACTCATTGGTGTTCAATGAAATGCATCATGAATATCGATAAATTTACCCACTGTGACGCCACTGGAAATATTATTTCGAATCTAATGGCACCAGAAGAAGCTCCATATTACTATTGACAAAACCACCACGTTTTATTGGAATTGATGAAAAGACAATTGAGAAATGAATAGAAAAAAGATTTTTCATGGAAATATTAATACCTTGTATCTCGAAAACGAAGCAAGTTAGAACAAATGTATATATGAACTGAATTACCTAAAATATCACAAGGAATCACCTCCTGAATTTTTTTCGGTGTCATTTAGATACCCTGTATGTGGGAGCAAGACAACCCCCTCCCCCTGAATCCGCTCTAGAGATGCACGTGGCGATGTCTTCATTAATACTCTCATGTAGAAAGTGCAACTTTATGAGCTCATAGGGTTGGCACCCTATTTACCTGAATTTTTCATCATTCTGTTCTCGCCCACTTCTGAGAAGTTCACAGTTCATATAAATCTTGTCTAGTTGAGTACTATTAAAACGGCATGGAAGTTTTCAAAGATCGGAAGTTTACAGCAAGCTCACTTAACTTTGTCAAAGAAAAGTTAACATACAGAGGATATGAAAAATGGGTCGCTTGTTGAAAACTTCATAATGTATCCGACACTCCGAGCATATAATATCGCCAAGCATTATGCAAAAGTGCAAAAATTTCTTCAGCGAATGAATTTTCTTGGGATAAGTTCAAAATTCTACTAGTTATTATGTAATTTCGTTCAAAAAAAATATACAATATTCTTTATAATATGAACACATTGATATGTTAGCCACTTCAATTCAACCAATGAATTAGAAATAGAAATAGCGATAGAAATATTCATTTATCCTTTGTGACATTACAAGAATGTATAGAACAGTCAATAACTTACTCTAAGAAGTGTGATTAAAATTACCTAAAAATTGTCAGATATTGAAAAATTGTATATAATAAAAGTACAGGCGACACAAATGAAAAAGGTTCTTACAAGCTATACTGAAGGTATTCCTTTACACTATAATAGTAACATTTATTAGTCATCATAAGTTTTATTGTATTTTTGAAACCACTGAACGAGTCTATACTTCTAATATAAAGTGGAAGTTTATTGCACATTTTCATTCTCATATATCTGAAAACTTCTTTCCAGTTTCGTAGTTTTTCTATCAGGGAAACTGAAAGAAGAATCCAGTAGCTTGTCAGTGACGCTTTGTCTGGAAAAATGTTTGAAAAGAAGAAATATAGATATATTGAAAAATATCGAATTTGTGTAAGTATATATTTTTTTTCATGTTCTGGTTCTCACGAAAAGGGATATCCTGTAATATTCAGAGAACATCGTGAGAACCAAGGGAAAAAGGGTATAGGAATTGTTGTTCTTCTTAAACTTCTGGAGGATATATGCCTCAGGAAACACCTCCCTTGGCAATATAAGCCTCAGAGAACACCTCCCTTGGCA